GGAACACTTCATCCTTCAGTTTATCACAAACATTCAACATCAACACAAAGGAATCTTGATTTTGTTTTGTCTTGTCTAAAGAGTAGGTGTGAGGAATGAATGGACCAAACATGTTGTGTATGAAGGACACACAGATGGTCAAACAGAAGAACCGGTGACAATTATGATATTTATTTTCGTATTCAGACAGATATTAATTTGTGTGATCCGTGTTTCTTCAGGCTGAGGCCATCCACGTCAACCCGCTGTACGTCCTGATCCCCACCACCCTCTGCACATCCTTCTCCTTCCTGCTGCCCGTGTCCAACCCGCCCAATGCTGTCGTGTTCGCCTACGGACACATCAGCATCGTGGACATGGTAAGCGCTGTCGCAGGAACACAGATGCAGGTTTAACGTTCTCCTTCGTGAAGTCTAAGCAGGCTGCAGAAACATTCATTCTAAAGTTCAGTGCTGCACGTTGACCCATGACTTCCGTGTCCGATCGCTGCTGCAGGTGAAGGCGGGGCTTGGCGTCAACGTGATCGGCGTCCTCCTTTAGCTCCTAGTTTTGGTTTTGCGGCACATTTCCCGTCTGGTTCAGTCTCCAACGAGCTCTGACGAAGCCACTTTGCATCCTCTACTCAAACCAGACCTGAGGGTGAATATTAGACTGAAATTCATCAGATGTTACCGTGGAGCCCACACTGTCACTACCTCAAGAAATATAATCAGATTTTTGGGAAAACCAACAAGGTATTTTAAGGAGAAGCAGACAGAACGGTCCAGTGTGTGTTTGAAGGATGTCAAACTGATTCATCAGAGAAAACAGGTTAAAAAGATAAAGAAGTGAATCACCACATCACCTGGAGATCCAGACAGAAGACAATGAATTCAAGGAACAACCGACTCTGGACGATGCTACACTATGATTGGCCAGTCTGCGTTGGAGGGGCGGGACTTAGCGAAGGGTCAGTTGGATGATCGTGTTGTTCTGTGTTTGCTGGATGTGGCAGCAGGCTGCTGTCTTCCTCAAATATAATAATAAACTGATATATATCGTCAGATGTGTTTACAGCTCGTTGCTGCAGTGGTCAAAGGAAATAACAGAACGTCTTTACAAAGGTACTTTGGATGACAGACTCCTTTTGTTTCTTCTTTTGGATTTACTTGAGTTGCTAATTTGGAAAACTTGAAACTTGAGTCTCTCTAACTGTAAATACAGTCTGAATGAGAAGGAATGAATGTACATAAATTGCAGGAATGTAGTTTTTGTACATACACTTGTACCTGCTCTCTAAGTACTCTGGTACAGTATAATTCCTGGACTGGGGTGTCCATAGCTGCAGAAGAAGTGAATCAAAATCCAGAAAAACAGAATAAAGCGTCAATAATTAAAAACATGAGGCTGTTTTAATGTGTATACACACACACACACACACACGTTTGTATGTGTTGCTCTGTATTTACAGTATTTACCAGAGAAACACTGACCTCTAGTGGCACAGCCTCTAAACACAAGTTATTTACATAAACTCTATAAATACACAGTATAAAAACAATACACCGAAATAAAACTAATTCTTCATTTAGTTCGTTTAGTTGAAACTGTTTCAGCCAACGTTATGCTCGTGTTTTTGCTCAGAATCAGAACCGTTTATTGCCATGGTATGTTGAACATGCAAGGAATTTGGCAATAAACGGTTCTGATTCTGATTGCTGTAGGTGTTTCTAATATTTTGTCCACCCTTGTTTATATAAGAAGACAAAATATAAGAGTTTCTAAAAAATGACAATTTTTAAAATACTTTTAAAGTAATAATTGTATATAATTTCTAAACCCTGCCCCCCAAAATAAATTATATAAATATTACCTTTGTTCACCTTTGTGTCATTATTTTTTGGTGTTTAAATGAAGGGATAAAGTGTATATTTCTCATGATATTCTCACTATGAGGCATATCTCTAAATGTTCTCTGTTCCAGCTCTCTAGGTAACTGTGAATTAAAACACGTTGCTTTCCCTTTCCAGTCAAAGATCGTCTATGTGAGATGGGGTATCAGTCAGAGGGTTAAAAGCTTCCCCACTACTGACCTGCAAAAGTGGGCGTTCGTCGGAGAAATTAGTGAACTTTGTTATTTTAAGGAAATTGTTTATCTTTGTGCACATTTGAATCTAGAAAAAATTGATTTAATGAAAATCTTAGAAGGAAAGTTTGACAATTTTGCAAATATACTTATTTGTGTTATTGGCAGAGACTTTGATGAGAACATCGTTACCAGCCGATTAGCATAGCTTAGCACGAAGAGTGGTGGTCTGACTCTTTTGGTAAAAAAATGTGAATCATTATTTGTTTTTTTACACCTTGGTCTTTGTGCTAAGCTACGCTAAGCTAGCTGTAGCTTCATGTTCATTGTACCGTTTGTCATAATATTGCTAAAAGGATTATAACCATGCAAACTGTCTTTATGCTCATTACTTATGTCACTCTGGTGGGAATGGGCTTCCATAGGCTTGTAGTCGTTTGCAGCCTACATTAACTCAGGTGACATATTTGTAGTTTCCATGAACATTTCCATTTTTTGTTACCTTATAGCCTCCGTCTACTCCATACATAAATATTGTACTTTTACTCCAATGCATTTATTTGAAAATTATAGCTGTTTACTTTTTACATGAAGAATTTATGAAATATGCTTTTTGATATGAAGTAGTACTATACTACGAATATACCCAGTGGTATACAAACTAAAAATGAATGAACCCACACCATTAAAATGCACTTGCATGTATTTTATTGTAATACAAACATAGTATAACATTCTATATTAATAATTATATAACACTTTGAATAGATGCATGATAAGCCCGTTTTAATACTTTAAGTACATTTTGCTCATAATACTTTTAATTAAGTAACAATTTGACTTCGAGACTTTTATTTTTGATGGAGTATTTATAGGCTGTGGTATTTATACTTTTACTCAAAGTATTTTTCCACCACTGGAAGACTCGCAGTGTTCCGCGAGCTTCGTGGTTTTAGAAACACAGACAGAGTGAGACCTCTCGCTGTTAGTTTCTTTCTCTATCTGCTGTTGCAGCCACAGGTTGCTCACCTGTGTGCTGGAGCGCTCGAGTCACACACAGAGAGCACGCGCGAGAGCTCCGTGCTGCAGCCAGTGGCGGCGGACGCGCGCTGCCATTCCAACACTCACATTCCCGGTGCGACGGAACGAAAGCGCACGCTGGCGACGAACCTCCGTGATATTAACCGTTGCTACTCTACTGGAAATTACGGACGTTTCTTCGCTGGGGTCGTGGTCTATAAAACACCGGAACGGGGGAGATACCGGAGGGGTCGGTAAAGCGCAGCTCCTTTAACGCCACGTCGACTAAAACAAACAAACTAAAACAGTTGGTTTTTTTCGGTTTGAACCGGACTTTTAACGCCGTGAACCATGCTGGACCCGTCCTCCAGCGAAGACACCGGCGGGGAGTCCGACCCAGAAGTTGTGCAGGAGACTCCGAGGAAACCAGCAGCCGGTCCGGCGGGGAAACGTGGGAACAACACCAGCAGCACCTGCAGCAACACCAGCAGCAGCAGCAGCCGGGCGCGCGGCCAGCGGCGTCAGTCCGCCGCACCTGGAGGTTCCCCCGGTAAAGGTGCTAAAGACAGCAAAGCTACAGGTGAAGAGGAGGAAGAGGAGGAGAGGAAGGAGCGCGAGCGGATCCAGAAGGAGGAAGAGCAGAGGAAAATTAAACTGCAGATTTACGTGTTCGTGCTGCGGTGCATAGCCTACCCGTTCAACGCCAAGCAGCCCACCGACATGGCCCGGCGGCAGCAGAAGGTGAGTCCAGAGCCGAAACAACACGCACCTGTTGGTGTCACGTGAAGGGACCTGCTAACCTCACCTCCTTTTACAATGTGTCACTTTAAAGCGTACTCTCTTACCTGACCTAATATTTCAAACAAACACGTTGAACATATTTGGAACCACAAAGAGCTGCTGATGAGTTCGGCATCTATTTGATCCGCCTCTTATTTCAAGAAAATAGTTTATTTTCTCTTCGACTCTCCCGGTGCCTTCACATCGTTGACGTAACGCAGCTGGGAGGACGACGGCCAACCGCGTGATCCTGAAATATGTCTTAAATAAGCGCGACATGTTGTATGAAATGAATGCCGAATTCAACATCCACTTGACTTGTTTAGTGTTCGGTGTTTCTCTCGATTGTGCTGTTTATTTGCTCGGTTCGCTTCATGTCAACCTTACACTGACAGACACCCTAAAGGAGGCTGGTATAGTAGTAAAGACATGTCGGGACCTGAGAGTATCCAGGTTTTAGCTCATGCATATGACCAAGTGACCAACCACCCAGTGACATCATAACTCACTCAAACCAGGCTATCCACACCCTTAAACCAGACATCGGGGTCAAATACCATCTCATTAAACCATCGCCATTACAAAAAATAATATGAACCCACTTCCTCTTCTAATCCACTTTGTTGATACTTACCAATGCAAACCCGAACAGCTCATGACGTCACATGTGATGGGTTTCCTGCAACATTAAAGTAGCTTCACTGGGGTTAATATAACACCTGTTGATTGAGAATCACTGCACTCAGTGAAGATGGATCTGTGTTTAAATAACCTTTATGATGTGTTCCTGCTGTGCTTGGAGGTCTGGACCTGCTCTCTCTCACCCATAAAAACCAGCCGAGAGAGAGAGAGGAGCCAGTTCCGACTGAAGAGCCCCCCCCCCCCCCCCCCCCCTCGGGAGCTTGTAATGAGCGTCTCGTGCTGTTTCATTCCAAATCTGCAGACGAGGCCTTTTCATCCCATGTGCGCGCGGTGAATGTTCCTCCGACAGAAGGCAGACGTGGGAGTTTATTTGTGCACAAGTATATAAGCATCCGAATATGAAACCCCCGTGTCACATTAATGAGGCAGCGCCCCCTCGAGATCCAGCAGGAGACACCAGCCCGTTCCCTGGATCTGTCTCTCCTGCTTCTCCCTGAGCGTAAAGTAAACGGGAGTGTGTGTTCACTAAAACACGAGAGGGGAGACATCGAATTCTTGTCTCGCGGAAGGAAGCGGACTTCCTCGTGCGCCAGCGCTCCCACGGTGGAAGAGGCGGCAGGAGGCGAGTTGCCAGTTTGAATCCCTCGACTCTCGCCCGGCAGACGGGTCTGGATCGATGTAACGCTCGGGATGAGCTTCATGGATTCATCTGCAGAGGAATGAACCAATCAGAGGACAGGCTGAGGCACGTCTGTTTGAATTAGTATTCACAGTAAAAGTATAACTCAATGAAGTGGATTCAATTAGTTCATGTCCGGTTCTGCTCCGTTCATGGATCGCTGCTCATACACCATCACCTGCATGTGCTTCATGTGTGAAGGTAGCTTCACTGTCTCAGTTACAGTGTGCTAATTCACTGACATCTCAGACCCCCTGAAAGCCTCGCATGCAACAATTATTCAACACTTACAGTTGTCACTAAAATGTCTTGGTTTAAAGCGTACTGATGCCCAGCAGTTTGCATTTCATTCATTTATTCACAGATGTGAATAGTGAGTGCGAGAGTCGATTTTCATCCATAAATGACAGCCAGCTTTGGATTGCCATAGAGTATTTCTCACACTGCCTCATATTGTTTCCGTATTATGGACTCTGTGGTACAGACTGTTTACTACTGGCAGCACTGGTACATTTACTCAACTTCTACTGTACTAAAGTACAACTCTGATGCTACTTTCTACTCTACGACATGTCAGAGGGAGACCTATTGGACATTTTACTTCACTACATTTATTTATAATGATACAATGTATAGTTATACATTTAATTAAACCACCCGGCATCATAGAAATGAATACCATTAGCTTTATTGCAGCCAGCTACAGATTTAATATGTTGCTGCATCAATAACATCAGTCTAATAGCCGCCGCAGACCTAAACTAGAGATGAAGATGTAGTCACTGTGCACGTTTAAAAATAGTCTGTGCACATAAACTTTGTTTCGTCTTGAATCCTGTCACTTTCCTCTGGAGGCGGAGTTAATGATGCGAGCTGGCGCTGAGCGTTGGCCCACGCACAGACTCGGCCTTCAGCGGGTTCACTGTGGGCCTCCATGATGCTCACTCCTCAGGCCTTCACCTCCCAGAACACTCCTGACTGATTACAGACCAAACACCCGGAGAGTTGATCTTCATGCAGTAAAACTAATCTGCTGCAACTTCTTTTGGATGTTTTTATGTAATGCATTTCTGATGTCACATAGTTAAGTTAGTAATCACGTGGCCTCTTTCTTCAACACACATCTGCTTTACTTTACAATAACTTCTGCTGATGAACGATTGATAAAACAATCTCGCCTCCAGTTCCATAAAGTAAGTGATCTGGAGCTTTCAGTCAAAAGTTTGAGGAACTTTGAAGCCGACACGGACAAGAAGTCCTGAGAGTTTGATCACAGCTGGACGAACTCCATCTGCTGATGAAGATCATGTGATTTGATCGAAAGCTAAAACGTTCATGATGGACTATTCTAAGGTTGGGCTTCCTCCTCTCAGGAGACTCCTTCATTTGTCTTAGTCGACAAAGATTTCTTCAGTTAATTAGTGATTATTTTTTTTTATGCTTTTGTCATTTTGAATGACTTATTTCCAAGAAGCTTCTCTGGTAAACTCAAGATTTAAAGCTTCAGAAGTGAAGCGAAAGAACAAGAGAACCCTGTTGTTGTTGTTGTTGTTGTGAGAACACCCTGGTACGAAACACACCGGTACCGTAGCTTCAGAGAGACTTCACTCTTTCTAACGACGTATTTTCACCGTCTTATACTTCAACACTTTTATAACAAAATGAGACTTTCTTGACGTGCAAAATCATCTTTTCAATTGACAAACAACAAATGTGTAATTCATGGCACAACTGGAATCCAATCATAATTGTCCTCGGGGGAGCCGTCCTTCCTTTAGAACATGTCTGACGGTTCAGGAGGAAGAAAAACAAACAAATCATTTATTTTGAACAGGAAGTAGAACAAGTGTCGGAGACATTATCCTCCTTCTGGTACTGAGGCTTTGCCCACTATTTTATAAACTGTTTTCATACACTTGTGTTGAACACGGTGAACAAAGGCTTTCTCAGAAGGCAGCAGCAGAGTTGGAGGCACCACCACATTCAAGAGCTTGGTATGAAATCATAAATTCCAGAAACTGCTCTGGTGTTTCTGAGAGTTTCCAAACCTGCGGCTCTTAGCTGCTGCTCAGTAGTTATTCATTACTTCCCCTCCAGCCACTGATGAGTTGTGTATCCTGTTTGCTGATTTAAACATTAACAGGTTCTCTGAGGGTAGCGTGGCGCTCGATATGAATCGCACTGACCGGAGAAACCACGACGTCTTTTGGGGGAAGTTTTGTAGAGAAACTGAAGCGGAGAAACCAGCCGTGCAACATCTCGTCTTTCCTTGTTTACATAGTTTAACTGTTGGACTGAATGTGCTTCAAGCTTCCTTTTTAAAGGATCTGGTGTCCCGTCAGTCGCTTCAAAAGAGCTCTCTGTTAATACTCGGCTCATCCGTCTGAGGCCCTTTAAAGTCTCCTGAGCTCTGGAGAGATCAGGAAAGTCCTAAAGGGTGAATGAGCACGCAATACTGTGGTCGTGTCTCAGAGGACCTTGGCTTCATGTTTGGTAAGGAGTCTGGTGTTGATGAATCGACCAGCTCTGTGAATCACAGGAGAGGAAGGAAACTCAAGCTTCACCCGAGGCCGTCTGGATAAAACAAAGGATGTTTATTTCCCAAAGAGCTCATTATTTATTCTAATACATAATTAACATGTCAAGCTGAATAAGCAGCCGATCAGAATCACCACACAGCCACAAATCTGACCCGTGCGAGAGGAGAAGTCAATAGTAATCTTGTTCTTCCTTATTTCTCTCCCCGTCTGTCGTAAAGTGAACAACGAGGATCTAGTTGAAGCTCCTCTATTGAGGCACAAGGGACGGATGTTCAACACGTTGGAGAGTTTGGCGCCTCAGCCGGTAGATTAACATCTTCACCGGCAGAGTGAAGCTAAGAAGGTTTAGCTGCCTCTCTGGTTCTCTGATCCACCGTGGAGAAGCCACTTTGCTCGGTTACTTCTCGGCGCTTTCTTTTCCTGCAGCGCTGCAGAACTTCCCGCCCGCCACCTGTTGTTGTGGACGAGGAGCTGCTGCTGAACGGTGAAACATTTATGTTGTTACCGCCGTCGACCTTGTGGACGATCGCATAGCTCAGCACTGAATATTCAATCTGCGCTGCGGCCTTGAGGCTTCTTTTAAAAAGAATCTGGTTAAAGAGTGGAGCAGCTAGTGGAGAATATTTCTGCATGTATTTCTTCCATGTACTCGTGTGTGAGATATTGTCCCTGGCAGTGAGAGGAAACTCCCACCTGTTGTGTTCTCTCGCCTGTCAAACATCGGAAGCCTCCCGTCTTCCCCCGGTGTTTGTTTCCAAGAGTGCCTGGCGAGCGGAGCAGGGAAACCATGAAGAAACCCCCTCCTGAAGGGGGGCCCACGCATCGCTCCCTGCACACATCTAATCCCCTGGCAGCTGTTTATTACACAAACACGATAAACACCACCTTCTGCTGATGTGGAGGCTCGTTTTTTATTTAAATTTTTTATTTCTGCGGGTTAGTGGGTGTGTTTTCTGGCTGCAGATTTGCTGGAGGCGACTTCCGTCCTCCTTTGTCATCGCTCCTTCCTCTGTCAGACTCCCTGAGACGGGGCTCTTCTCAGAGGGTTATGTAACCTCTCCTCCTCCTCTTCCTCCTCAGAAGTGAAAGGATGTCTCAGCAGGGCTCTAGCGGAGCAGGGAGCTCCGTCA